CCTTGGCGTAATATTGCACTCCATAACAATCGACCATCATGTGCGGATCCCTTCCAACCAGCATGCACATATGTAAACTTCATATCAAATGTGCAAGCCACTAAAACATTTTGAGAAATCACTTGCTTTCTAGTAGGATACCTAGCTTGGTCCTCTAAGGGGACGTTCGCAACAATATGTGTACCATCTATTGCCCCCTACAACATCCTGTAAAAAGAATACTTTTCAAAATATTATAACATTGAACTTCTAAGAAATATAATGAAATAACTACAATCCCCTAACCTGAAAAAAAAAGAGTATCATGGCTTCACATTTTCCTTCTTATATGATGAGTTATGAATAGTGACATTAATCACAACATCTCTATACAGTCCAAGACAAGCTTGTAATACCCTATGGATGTAAAAACTCGCAGTTTGACCAGATCGAAAGAAAGTCAAACGTCCAGCTCGATTATGTTGGTCATGCCCAGCGGTATTTAGAAAAATAGCCACTTGTTCCTCAATTCGAACATATTTACTATCAACCAATCCATAAGTTCGCAAACAAGCACATAGTCTTTGAAATGGACCTATTTTCATCCTAAGTAGATCACGACATGTTGTATCAATTATACCAAACATTCGTGTAAGTGTCATTTCTCTTTCAGAATCCCAATTTGTATGAGGAACCCTATGGAGATGACGTTCACGACGCCTAATATAATTATATATCACAATTGTTTGCATGACTATCGTCCAAAATAAACCTAAATGTTCTCGTTGGAGATGAAGTTGATTCCTTGTTGTAGCCATGTTACGCACTACCACGATAAATAAACAATCAATAAAACGAACATATAAATTACTTATTTTCCAACAAAAAATGGATAAAAATCGTCAAGATGCTACAAAACTAAAAGGTAAAGAGTTGGCGCTGTCAAAATAATAGGTCGGGATCAAGCAATTTGATCATAGCAGAAAAAGACAGAGATTGATTGAAATGAAATAAAAAGGAACAAAGCGATGCCAGTTTTTAAATAGTTATGTCAAAGTAGGAAGTGTACATAATAAAAATCAGCCCAACAATTGGGCCTATTACATTAATCCAACACATTGCATATAAAAATTTCATTTAGATTAGATTGATACTTGTACAAATGCTTCAAAATGATTAAAATTATGTTGACAATTTTTTTCTGTGACCAATTCATTATAACCATTAATTTATTGTCAACTCCGAGGGGGTAATATAAGTCTTGTAGAATGAGTTCCTGAATTCAAACATTGGATCTTTATCTTTGAATGTTGGAGTGTCTTTTCTTGAACTATATATATTTCATAATTCATAGGTACCCACAATTAATCAAGAAAGTGCGGTAGCGAGCTCTGAGCCTACCGAGACTCTTATGAATTTCCGTTCTGATAAAATCTTACGTCCGAACAAGAAATAGCAGGGGAATGTGATTCTGTTCTTATAGCTGTCATTTCTTTTTCTGCTCTTCTATAAACCTACTAAATTAAATTGAGCACTTGATTTTGCAGGTATATTTTGGACAAAACATGGTTTGTATTGATTCCCTAACTCATGGAAAGAAGAAGAGCATTAAAGTTGGAGATCTTGTATACGTGTTCAAAATGGTGTCTTCACCTGCATATGCACCAGATTGAGATCTTCACTGGTATCATTTGTGATTTTCTGCTGCATAGTTAAATAAATAAGTTTGTTGTGAACTTGTAATATACTAAGGTTTTCATCATGTATCTTCCATGTGGTCAAACTACAAATTTGAACAAATGGGTTCTCATTCTAATAGTTTAAGCTTTTAGTTGAGCAGTATCAAGCCAACAAAAAACCCGAGTTCAAGTCTCGTTTCCAATTTTGCACAAAAATAGAAAATATATAACTGAATTCGACATGCACATAGGGGGGAGTATTGAAGATTGCATCTAAATATAAATTAGCTTTCCTCTGCCTAATGGATTGAAACAAAATGCTATAATAGCCGATGGGAAAGAAGATGCAAGTTTATCTTTAACAAAGAATTGTAATAGAAAAAACATTCGATGAATTTTCAAAGCAAAAGAACAATAAACTCCAGCTCCTCGATTCTATCACTACCCGATTGGACTAGTTTAAAATTGTCCGAATTATCTTTCTCCAATAGAAGATGTTGATTAAAAGCTAACATTCAAGCTCAGAGCAAGAGGAATCAAATAATATATTGTTGGATAAAAATAGAGGTGAATCAAAGTATATCAATCAACCGAAGGCCCGTGTTCACACGGTTTCCTTAAATCGAATTCGCCGCCTCACCGGGGTGCACGAGGTTTTTATCGGTGTTCGATTCCCAGGATACAATCGGTTATCGGTCCACGTTGCACTACGTTACCGACCTACGAACTAG